TATGATATATATAACATATATAACATATATAATATATATAATATAATATATATAATATAATATATATATAATATAATATAATATAATATAATATATATAATATATGTAATATATATATAATATAATATATATAATATATATAGCATATATAATATATAATATATATAATATATATAATATATATAATATATATAATATATATAATATATATAATATATATAATATATAATATATACAATATATATAATATATATAGCATATATAATATATATTATATATATTATATATATATAATTCTTAAATATATAGAAATTTATTATATATAATAATATAATATAATATAATATAGTATAACATAACATAACATAATATAATATATATAATAATATAATATAACATAATATAACATAATATAATATAATGTAATATAACATAACATAATTTGATATATATGATATACAAATGTATACAGGTTGGAAGGCTCATTCGAAGTTTTGTGCGCTACACCAAGATCACTGAGCAGGATATAGCTGACGTTGCCGAGAAACATGCAGTTGCTTTTCAGAAGCCTTCCTCTCAGTGTTGGTGACTGGTGATGCGTTGTTGGGAACTGTGAGAATCTGTGGGATAGAGATGGGATGAGATGGGTACGGCATTTTTAGCAATGCTGTAAGCTCAGCACTGTATTAAGGCTGCAAGAGGAGAGTCGATGATTCTGAGCTCTGATGAGAGAGCTTTGCTGGGCAAACGCACTCGGCAAGGCTTCTCGTTAATGAAACAAGTTCGAACATTTTCTTGCTTTCACCCAGCTAACTTCTGCGAGTGGAATGAAGCAAAAGAGAATGAATGTTTCTGTTGAGCTATGGCATTCAAAATGAGTGCATTGCTTCATGTTCTGCATTTTCAAGCTGTGTCCATCCATCTAGAATTTCTGTTTGATAACTTATATGATATGTGGATCTTGCGGCTTGTCGACAAGGCAATAGGGAATGGCAGTGTCCAAGAGAGAGCAGGGCTGAGCAGCTTGTAGATTGTTCCACTGCCAGCAAAGAATGGACAGACCAAGAGGGTACAAACATGTACAAACAGCATCACTACGCATGGCAGAGTTTAGGCAGTTCTTTTAAGCAATCCGAAGCAATCCGAAGCAATCCAACAACAGCTGACATTCCTCGTGCGCGATGGAATCTTCACAGCTTCGGGCCTGCCCGTCACATGTTGCTGTTGGAATTGCGGCAGAATCGTTTCATTTCTTTTGTTGTTGCTGATGAAACCGCCGTGCCATGAATCTTGCCAGATAACCGAGAATGAGGCCCTTATCGAGTCATCTTTCAGGCCAAAATGCTGCCAAAGAGTGCAAGAGCTTGCTCGGAATCGTTCCGGAGCAAAACCCAAAAGTTGAGCAGAGCATACTAGGTTCCGAGCAAACGAGTCCTCCGAAGCTATTTGGCTTTGTTGCATTCATCCCCTCAGATACGTTCACTGAGGTAAGTTTGACAGACAACCATCCTAACTAGTTCATTTTGGGAGTTGGTGACATTAAAACCATTTGCGTTCGGTGCCACAAATCCCTGCTTGTTCGAAGGTGGAATCCAGTCAAGTATTAGTTTGCCCAACAGTACTTCAAGATTCATATATAGCTACACACAGCGAAATATTCCAGTACACGCGGAAATGTATAAAGGACACCATGTAAATTCCAACGAAAAAAAATCAAAAGCTGGCACTGCCGGCAAATGTACTTGCCGTAGTTCACATGTCGTCGAAGACCTGTGAGGCGTCTCATTGCCGCAATCGAAGCTGAGCGAGAGAAGATGCGTAGCACATGGACTCAAATTGATGAGGATGTCCTGGCAGTGTGCTGCAGTTTTCAGACCGATGATTATGTGTTAAACGAAGTGTAATTCTGAACCTATTTGGATCTATTTGGTAACTCTTGCTAAGACTCTTCAGAGTGCAGAGCTGCAGTGCAGGAGCAGCAAGTCACTGGAGATGATCTCGCAAGATTGAAGTTGGACACAGAGGTATCGTGTGACCGAACTTTGCCCAGTATACCCAGCAGTACACCAAGTTAAACACGCTGGAGAGCCTGTGGACAGTTCATATTTTGTTTGCGAACAGGAATGGTGTAGGGCAGAAAGAGTGAAAGCAGCAAGCTCAGTGACGGGCCGCTTTGACCGACATGCTCGCGTACATCCGCTGGCTAGCAGCTAAAACATTATACAAATAGCCTTTCGCAGCCAGGACTGGTTCTTGATACATACTGCGCAGCTGCTGCACCAAGATTGAAAACGAATGGAAGCGGCTAGACCGGCTTCGAGAACGGATGAGCGTGCTTTCTCCAAGTTCCAGAGAGGCAGGATAGAAAATGGAAACTATCAGAAACTCCATGAAACTGCATGAAACTCCTATGTGTCGATCGTGGGTTCCAGAGGATGGGGGGAGTTGACATGATTGACATGAGGTCTTGCAGATCAACTGCTCGGGAGCAATCTTCCAGCTGCCCAAGCGTGCACTCTGTTTTATTGAAGGACAAACATGTCACAGATTGTCACAGTAAGAAGCCAGACTTACGATGAAATCTGGCTTGCTGGACCCACATACACACACAACACACAAACACACACACACACAAACGATCATTCACTCTGCTTGGCGGGGCAGGAAGCTTCTTGAACCACATGTTCAGTGATGCTTACATCCAAAGCGTGCCTCGTGATGCGCAGGTGCCAGCTAATACGATTGAGATTCGTGTCTTTCAGGTATGATATCATGGACAGAAGATGTTATGTGTGTTAAGATGTATTGAGATGTATTGAGTATCATCACCAGCTCTCCTAGCTTCATCTAGCTTCCACTTGCGCAGGGAAGATATTTCCTGGATTTCAACCCTGAGTGCTTTGGCATAATTGTGGACTGGCTCACAAAGCTGGAGGCATGGCGTACCGACCAAAATATCGAAGTAGAGCTTGCAGAGCTTGAAATCTTCCGAGAGTCATTGAGAGTTACCTCTGTGCGGTAAAATATCCGTAGAACTGCAGAGTTCTTCTGGCAATGCCCTGGATGCAGGAAAATCCACATGCCAGTGTCCCGAAAGTGTCAGAGACCAATTCTATTTGGTTCTTCTTTTCTCAGTTGACGTGAATCTTCAGTGCGAGAATCTCTTTTGAGGCCTGAACAGCAAAAATTAAATATGGTGCGGTCCACAGAATTTCCAAGTGTCTGCAAGCACCATCAAAATGCAATGTGTCATCGACCTTTCTGTTCTGCAGCGCGAGGACATGCTTGCAGAAGCATTGAGCCTGCGCCAATTTGTTTGTCACTTCTCTCAAAATCCACCAGCATCTTGTTGTTGGACTTGGTTGGATGGTTTGTGGTGCGTGTCTTTGAGTGTTGGAAGAACTGTCCTGGGAACTAAGTCGGAAATTGCTTGCGAACGAATCATGGGACATCTCTGAAAGTGTCGCTTGGAGTGATTTCAGAGGTTGCGTAAGTTCACGCATATCAAGAACAGTAGAATGATTTTTAGATTCCCCATAGCTCTTGCGTTTCGGATCTGAGGAGAGGAAATACGGCGGAGGCGCTACTTCCGTGATATTGATGTTTATTATGTCAGTACTTTTGATCAAACATTTTCTGCCTCAGGCAACTCATATGGGTTGGCAGATCATATCGGCCGAACATCCTCTGAAGATGTCAGGCCTTCCGTATTATCGTCATAGTTGTTGTCGTGAGAAATAAGTTGCTTTGCCTATCTTTGCCTTGCAAGACTGCCTGCATCTTGAGGCAATTCTTTCTTTGAGATCAGAATTCTGAGCAATCCAGACCCGTTCCTACCTTACACATCCCTACACCACCTTGCATCCTTGTGGTCCTTGTACTATTTTGATCTATTTTTTGGCCCCATCAGGAGGTGGCCATGACACGGCTCAAGCCTTCTCTGTTTCCGAGGAATACTGACAGAATCGCTGTTGGTCTTTGTGGACACGTACCCACCGGTGCAGAGGTAGCCAAAATGACTTATCGCACATTT